ATTTAGATACTCGGATAAGACCTTTTGCTAAGAGGTCGACTATCTGTCTATCGATCTCCTCGCACTCTCTGACAATAACTTGATTATGAAATTATAAATCTATTAGAAAATGTATAACTTTTTTATAACTAATGTCATATTTAGCACTAAAACGGCAAAAAAAATCATAATTTAATTTTAATTAATAATATACTTTGAAAAAGAATATTCCAAGCCGACCTTGATGGAAATATGATTTAATCATTTTCAATATTTAGATTTTATTAAGAAATACCCACAACTAAAATAATTAATTAATTATTATTGAGTGATACGATAGATGTACTAAAATTATATTTTCTACCCATAGCACCAACATTGCACTATAATTAAACAAACACATGTTTTATTATTTTCTATTTAGTCCATCTGGGTTAAACAATTTTTTAAATAAATATTTAAATAAATAAATATACAATATTTCTATATACAATTACTATATTTTCAGATAATAATGTTACCTTATAATATTCTTTGATTAACATTTTTAGATTTTAATTCAAACCATATTACATTAGCACTAGTACTTTATTAACATCTTAATGATTTATTTCACAACTTTATATAATTAATGATTTATTGTAATTCAATGTATGAAACTTTAGAAAAACTTTTCTTTTTCTTGTTGTTAAAACCAATTATGTGTTAATAAAACAAAACATGTTATTAAATGTTTTTCACATGACTTTCGCAGACAGTATAACAAAAGCGAAATTAATGTAAGTTTTGTGTCATTTGATATAAATTTTTTGTTAAATAACTTTTTGTGTTAAAATATAAATACTATATATTTTAGTAAAAAAAACTTTTTGTCAGTTAATATTTCATATTGACAAAGTTAGTAATATTTAGTAAAGTTATTATTAGTTTCATTACACTTTTAGTGAAATAGATTTACATTCATATAATAACTACAAAATACTAAATAAATTAGATTATCAACTCAATTACTTATACTAGCAATAATAATACTAGAATAACAACAATTTAATTACATACATAGTTTTGAGAAAAATTCAATTATTGTGCAAAACTACACAATCAATATAACAAAAACAATGGATTCGTCAATTCTGTTACCAAACTCTGTGTTTCATAATCCCATTCTGGATATCGACGACCAAAACAAAACACATACTGTAAGTACAGAATCTCTCAGAATATTCTGTTAACACAATTATACGTAACTATTATTATTTTTATTATTTGTTAATAAAATTTGATCAAACATTTTTTCTACCATGTAGATAAATGAATTGATCAAGGACTTTACGCTCACTGTCGACACCTTGTTTAACATTAAACGGGTGTTTATTGAGGAGATGGAGGCGGGCCTGGCATTAGCTCCGGATAGTAAATCATCTCTACTCATGCAGAATACGTTTGTACCGGAGTTTCCCGATGGTAATGAGTCGGGTTACTATTTGTCACTAGACTTGGGCACTACTAATCTACGGGTAATACTGTCCAAACTGGTCGGTGGGTCACAGAAAGGTGTGGACAATGAGTTTACTGTGAAATACTATGACATTCCCAACGAGTGCCGCAGGGGTTCGTCCGATAATGTAATTATAAAAGTTTTTTTGTTATTATAATTGTAAAGATTTTATTTTCATTGCAATGTTAATTTCGTGACTGAATTTCAAAACATTTGATAGTAGTTTTTCATTGTTTTTATTTATGACTTTAATGTTTTTATTGCAAATTACAGTTTCAATAGCATTATCAATAATATTGCAGTAAATAATCACTATAAATTAGACAAACTCAAATATTACTTACTCTGTTACGTAACTTAAGTTAATAAATAATTAGTTTATAGTTAATAAATAACTTAACTTAAGTTGACTAAAAATTTGAGTTAACTATAAATTATTATAGCAAAAACTATTTGACATTATATATTTATTTCAATAGAGACCGCTGCATTAGACCTTTATAATTTATTAAAAAATCTAGTTCAATTAGTCAGTGATTTTCAATTTTATAAACTCATAACGTGTTAACGCAATTATTAACAAAACAGTAAAGTAACTATAATAAATTAATGATGTTAGTAAATCATAAAAACAATGTTTATAATTTGCAAACCAATTAATTTTAACTATACATGCACATAAAACAACCATCCATATCAATGTCACTATTGTTACAGTAACTTTATTATTACCATGAACAGTTATTCGCATTGCTGGCCGAGTGCATCGACGACTTCGTGGCCGAGTCGTTGCCCGGGTATGGGAAACGGCTGGCGCTGGGCTTTACCTTCTCGTTCCCGATGACAATGACTGCCCTAAATGTGGGTATTCTGGAAACGTGGACCAAAAACTTTGACTGTCCGGACGCCGTGCGGGTCGACTGCGCCCGACTGCTCCAGGAGGCCATCGACCGCCGGCCGGGCCCTCTGCCGGTCGATGTGGTGGCCATATTGAACGACTCGANAGCAAAAATTAATTGACATTATACACTTATCTCAATAAAGTCCGCTGCATCAGACCTTTATAATTAATTAAATAATCTAGTTTAATAACATGTTTATAATACATTTACACAACATAACAATCGTTATTAATAAAAACAAACACATCCTTTGCTTTACATTCAATGCAATTACACTTCAATGCCAACAGAGATGAGACCAAAAGCATTGCATACGTCAAGAAACTAACCCAACGTCTGGGTTACGTGATGTGCACCGACCCGGACACCGCCATCATTAGATACGTGTGCTCAGTGGTCACCGTTAGGGCCACACAGCTATTGGCCGCAGTGTTGGCCGCACTCATAGACCGGTGCGATCGGCCGCGGGTTACCGTTGCGATCGATGGCTCGCTGTATAAACATCACCCGAAGTTCCACCGATTGATGACTGACTTTACTCGTGAATTGCTGGACACGGATAAGACATTTAAGCTGATTCTGGCCGAAGATGGTTCGGGCAAAGGGGCCGGACTCGTGGCCGCCATTGCCCAGAGATTTTGGGCCAAACATAACAATAATTATATCGATACCAAGCTTTGAGATAATTTTTATAGACTTTTTATAACTTACATGTATAAATTTTTATTTCTAAATAATTACATTATACTGTTTTACTAATTATTAATAGTTAAATATAAAATTGTTTACATTTTTAGAATTTTAGAATTCAATTCATTTTAATAATATTATGAATATTTTTAAAAATTATTTTATGTGTTTTTAATTTTTTATATATATCTTTGCGACCCCAAATTGTTTATTATGATCAAGCTAATTAAATACACTAACGAATAGTTACAAATATAAAAATTCACCTATTTTTACAGTATTTCCAAATAACATTAATAACATTAAAAATTTAATTCTAGTAAAAATTATTTAAAAACAAATATAACTTTGTTTAAATGTACTGTATATCATTGGACTATAAACTACAGTATATTTGAAAGGTAGATAACTTTTAGAGTTTTTAAAATTAGACTAGACTAAAAGAGTTTTTAGTTAATTTAAAAATTAACTAAAAATTACATAATTTTTAGTTACAATTTAAAATTAGATTATTACTAGTTTTAATTGAAAATCAATACTATTTTCCGCTAATAATAATAGGATTTCTTTACTATAAAGTCGGATGAATAACACAACTAAAATGTTTGTTAAATATTATGTGAGAACTATGTAAATGTTTAAATCATGAAGGTTCTTATGTAGGGGTATATGAAAAACATCATGTGTGTATGTTGTTTAAAACAGTGTTTTTAATATTCAATTCTTATGTTCTATAATAAAACTTTAACAATTATTATAATTGTTTCAAATTACACAGGAACTTAAACCTCCTTATGCAATCTCTTTTAAATTAGTTATCTATATCTTAAAAGTTAAATTAACTTTTTATTAACTTAATAACTAATTAAACTTTTGCTATCAATATTAAAATCTATATGAATAAGCTAATAAGTTTAGTTATTAATAATAACTTTACAACCCAATTAGATTTAGTTATCAAGTTAATAATTAGTCAATAATAATAAGTTAATAATAAGTACCTGAAAATAACTAATTATCTGAAAACATTTCAAAGTATTTGTATTAAAAATAATATGAAAATTGTTTTTTAAATGTAATGTTAGACTTTGAATAGTTTTTATGTGAGTCTAATGACATTTCCGTTTACTAGTATTTTACCAACAAGTAATGTGCCCAGGGTGTTGGTTAGATAATTTTATTTAATGCCAAATGTAGTAGTAGTTTATGACAAAAAACATAGAGTGGACACATTTTTTTTAGTGGTAATGGCCATATACTGATCCTCGGTAGTCACCCGAACATTTCATGTATGCATGTTCTAACTATGACACTCACTTTATACGTGTCACCTCTGGTGTAACATCTATGACATATAAAGCGAGTGATTATTAT